GTTTCATGTGTGTCACATCAAGAGGTGTTGTGTCACACTTCTTAAAGTAATCTCTCACTCATAATGTATGTGTAATGTTAAGTATGACTATGTTTTTTGTTGATATTGGGAGCTTTGAAAAGGGCCATTAACTTAGCCTCCCTTTTCAACTTAGCCTTCTCTTTACGTATGCCCTCAATGGCCATTGCACGTACTTCTTTAAAGGCAGTTTCCTGTTCATAAGCCTTCACACGTGATCTACGATAAGCCTCCCACTCACTGGAAGACATGCCTTCTTTATCTCTATCTTTTTCAAGTAGGGAAATACGGTCAACTAGTGACTGTGAAATCTGACATGAGGAGCCGTAGCGGGTAATGCGGCACTTTGTGGGATGTACTTCTTCGCCGTATTCATTGTATGTGACTGATTCTGATGTGTAATGTTCAACCTGGTGCATGATTCACGTTAGGGACCATCTTTTCATTCATTATACACTTCACACTCACCGAAGTATCCCATACAGCTTCATATATACCATCCAAAGGATCCAGGTCCACCACCACATCGAACTTCTTTAGGATAAACATAGCTCCACAGATTGATCCCTTTCTAGGCGATCCTTCCACCTGATGAGGGATACCAGTCTCACGATCAATCAAGCAGTGGATTCCATATGCATACCGAGTATGATCACCATCTTCATGAGGATCATTGAAAAACCCATCAGCAGTAACTGCCATATTTGAAGCAAAGACCTTCCCGTTCGCAGTATCTTGCCACTCTAGATCGTCAAATCCGGGTTCGTTGGCATCAAAACCAAGCTGAAGGTTTGATACGAAGATGGAAAAAGCTAGTGAAGCAAAGCGTTCAGCCAGGAAATCACGGATCTTGTGGAATTTGGCCATTCTTTGTCGGTCATCATCAATACGATCCACCTTTGAAGATGTGAAATCATTCAGAGAATAAGGTGCTATTCTGATGAACATCAGCAAACTGCATTGAAGTAGGCCCATGTGATTCGAGATTGACTGACCAGCTGAAAGATCTAGGTCAGATCCTCCTCTCCATCCCGCACATCCCATCCAACCCCAATAAATACCCGCCTCCTGAAGTCTCTTAGTTGCTCTATTAGTTAAACACTTCCATTGAGCACGTGCTGTCTTGTAAGTGGTCGAGATTGCTTCATCAAACGCGGCACGTACTGAGGGTGTGAGGTTTTTGAATTTGGTGCAGCGAACCACCAAAATGAGTGAAAGATCGGCCGCGTTGATGACAGCAACCGTTCCAGAACTGATCATGATTGGATCGCGATCCAAAGTGTAATGATCACTATCTCGACTCCATCTGAATATGAAGAGAGTGTCAGGAGGAAGTCCAAGCTCTTTGGTGAGTCTAGCTTTAATTTCAGTTCGGCGGGTATGCCTTCGAGGATATAATCGGCCTAGGTCGTAATAAGATTTCCATCTCTCAGTTCGCCGCTTGACAGCTGATGGGGATGTTTTAGATTTGAAGTTTTTCTTCTTGAATCCATTCTTTTCGGCTCTTTTCCTTCTTTTTTGACGTGACATGGTGATCTATGTAAGATTAAGTAAGACAAAACAATCAGCCGATGATGAGATGGATTGGAAGATGTACGACTTTGAGCATTACTCGATCGATTAACTAGTGAACCAGTAACCGCAAGAGTTTGGTTAGAGGTGGTTGATACAATCAATTCAATTGATACAGTCGATTTTGATGCAGCAATATTCAAATCAGCGAGCCGTATGACCAGATGGATCGTAGCCGGAGGCCAACAACACTCTAATCAAGCAACCACGACTAAGAGGAAATATTGATCGTTTTTGATTTGAAATATCGTCCAGTTAGATTAAAGGTAAATCTTGAGGGTGTAAGCGAGTTGAGAATTGAAAAGATGATGGGATGGGTGGTAAGGTAGATTCCCATCGCGCTCGATGGGAACAGAAGGATGAAATCGAAATGAAACCTTTCAATAGGTTTATTTAATTGTAATTGTATTTAATCAATTGATTTGATTCAATTCATCAATTCAAATGATTGAATTGAATTAAAAAGGATTCTTTCAAATGCATCATTTGAAAGAATCCCTTTCAATCAATACATTCATTTGAATATATCAAGACAAATAAATGTATTGAACAATCCTATGAACAAGTTCAATTGAATTTTCAAATGAATTCGAATGATTCAATTGTATTGATTCAATTGGATCATTCGATTGAATGAATTGGATTGAATCAAATCAATCAAATGTAACCAATTGAATCATTCTATCGGATGATTCGATTGGATCAATTTGATTGATTTGATTCAATTCAATTCATTCAATTGAATTCAATTGTATTCATTCAAATGAATCGTTGAATTAATACAGTGATCCAATTGAATTAAATTGTGGCAATTTGATTTGTGTCACCACAAACCACAGCTGTGACACAGCTGTGAGGTTCGTGGTGACACAGTTGTTTGTGGCACAACATTGTTTAGTGGTGACACAAACCTCACAGAGGTGAAACAATTGTGTCACAGCTGTGAGGTTTGTGTCACCATGAACCACAGCTGTGTCAGTCACAGACCTCATGGGTGTGACACAGGTTACACCTTGATGACACTCATGTGTACATAGGGTTTGGACAAACCTTGCATTACACTATCATTTCTTGTGTTCTTGTGTAACCACACGAGAAATGGCTCATGATGGGACGTGTGACACATATGTGCCACACCATTGTGACACTGTTAACCCAACTGTGACACACCGGTGTGAATGGAGTGGCACAACGGTGTGCTCCAACTGTGTCACATGTGACACTCCATTCAACATTTTTGGCTCGTAAGTCCAAACAAAAATGATGGCAGATCAAGTTAGGAGCCAGATCACCTCAATTGCAAAGTTGAAACATGGAACAATTGTTTTTCTGATTCATGTTAAGTTTTAAATTATCTTATTGATACCAAAACATACAACATGATGGGTCACAATTGTGTCACGTGTGACACAGCGTGTGCCACACCATTGTGGCACACCGTTGTGAATGGTTTTTA